TGTCAGCATCTTGTTTGCCTGCTTGCTCAACTCCCCAGTTGACCATCAGGGGGAAAGGATGGGCCCTGCCCTACCTTGTTCTCACCTGCTTTTCATTCTTTCCTGCTGCTCTGGCAGGCACCTAGAAGGGGGATTGGAAAGTCTCCCAAGAACACTCAAAGAGAAGCCAATGAGAGCTGGGTTTGGGATTCAGGGCATTGAAAACACTGTGAGACACAGACATTCCCACCCCAATATTTTGGTAGGAAGTGAGAAGTCATGAAAAGGCTGAATTTGTTCCCTGAGCACAGGTGCACTCCCTGCCCACTGAGGAAGCCCAGGGTCTGGGCAGGTTCCCGTCTGTGATTTTGATTCTGAGAAACAGAGACTGAAAGAAAACCCAGATTCTTCTCCTTCGATCACCCACTCACTTCATATGTCATTCTTCCATCACTGTCATATCAGATATCATCCCAGGGTGTCCCCAAAGCAGGCTGGTTCTCGGGGAATTCAGTAGGAAACAGCAGCTCCTACAGCGAAAATTTCCATTTCCACTCTTGGCCTGTTTTGACCAAGCAGTTGAGAGAGAGACCAGAATGAAGGAACAAGAAAAATGCTCTATCCACAGAGAACCAATCCGGGCCACGAAATGGCAGAAAACCCTGCACAGCAACATGCAGCTGAGTAGGACCACAGGGACCAGCCAGAGTCCTGCGTGTACCCTCCATGGTCTCCTTCATGGGTTGTGCTGGGCAGTGTGGGACACTTTCTGGGGCACAGGCCTCAGACAAGGCCTGCAGGAGCCCAGTCCCTGGCCTATGGATTCTCTTAATACAACACACATAGGGGCCTTGGGGGCAACTACCCCCAAATCAATTCAACAAGTCATCTTTCCTCCTACTGACTTCCCATCTCTGTCATCCCATGGTGGGCAGGGAGGGGACCTTCATCTAGGGCCTGATGTGCTCTGGGTGCAGCTGAGGGGCCAGTGTCATCCGGACACGGGCTCAGGAAAGACGCCCACCCGCTGCAGCACCTTCCTCAGAGACGATTTCACCTCCTTATTCCGGAGGCTGTAGATGAGGGGGTTCAGCATCGGGGTTACCAGGTTATTCAGAACCTGAACAGTTGCATTAAGCCAGGGGTTGGGGGTGGGCTGCAGGTAGATGAGGACCACGGGAAAGTAGAAGAGCAGGATGGCCATGAGGTGGGCGCTGCAGGTGGAAAAGGCACGGCGGCGGCCTTCTGCAGAGCGGATCAGCAGGATGGAGTAGACGATGCGGCTGTAGGAGGTGAGGATGAGGAGGAAGCAGGTGAATGATGTGAGGCCCACAGCGATAAAGCCCACCATTTCCAGCGTCGCTGTGTCCACACAGGCCAGCTTCAGCATCACGGGGATGTCACAGAAGTAGTAGTCCACCTCGTTGGGGCCACAGTAGGGCAGTTGGAAGGTGAGCGTCGTGAGGAAGATGGCCTGGACACAGCCAAACAGAGATGTGCCCAGGGCCAGCACAGCACACGCCCTATGACTCATGATGACCGAGTAGCGCAGCGGGTAGCAGATGGCCACGAAGCGGTCGTAGGCCATAACCGTGTACAGGAAACACTCAGTGCAGCCCAGGAAGTGGTAGAAGAAGAGCTGGCACACGCAACCTGCATAGGAGATGGCGCGGCTATTCCCTGACAGGTAGAAGAGCATCTTGGGGGAGCTCACCGAGGGGAAGAAGATGTCGAAGACAGACAGTTTGCACAGGAAGAAGTACATGGGCGTGTGGAGGCGCGGGGAGGAGACAATGGCCAGGAGGATGAGCAGATTCCCCATGAGTGTGAAGACGTAGAAGGACAAGAACAGGGTGAAGAGCAGGGTCTGCAGGTCCTCTGTGTGCGGGATGCCCAGCAAGACAAACTCTGTCACCACAGAGCGATTCCTCATAGCTGAGACTCAGGCAAATGGCCCAAGAAACCAGTCTGAACACCAAGCTCTAGTGATTAAGCTCTCCACTGACAGGTGTCGGCTGTGTTTCCAATGAAACAAAGCAAAATCATCCTCATGGATCACCAAAGATCTATCCAGAGCTCCTGTGATCGGGAATGCCTGTTTCTGAGCTCAGTCTAGGCAGGATGAGATCAGTCTGGAAGGAACATCTCTTAGAGCTGGATGGTTGTCCTCTAGTAGAGGATAAGAAGTTTGTTTATTTTTTTTAAAAAATTTTGTACTGAGATTCTGTGATTTACAATGCTGAGAATGATGGTTTCTCATGCACATAATTATAACACCACATCCATTGCCAGTGTATCCACCTTCCCCCCCAAGGACCCCGACACCCCTCCCTTTCAAACATCTCCAACACACTGCGCCCACTCAGTTGTGTGGACCAATTCCCTCATTGTGTTGTTTTCGACCCTTCATTGCTACCTTGCTGTGTATATTTAAGTCTTACATGTGAATCATCCCAGATGTACCCCTGGGCTTCCTGATACTTCACTCTGCATGGTAGAAGTTTAGGGAGACACTCAGAACTTTTTTATGTTAAATCAGAAACCTTTGGCAGTTGTTTAATTTATTTTCTTCCTTCGTAATGTTATTTTCCAATTTTTACTACTCAAGTATGTCAGGGAAAATTTGCGTTGACATCAACAGCCTTCAGCGGCATTGCCACTCACTAGCTCTACTAGTTAAAACAGTTCATCAACACTACAGACACAATTTTAACTGAAATAAAAATCAAAATAATAATTGTTATAACAATAACAAGTTAAACAACAGAAGTACTGTGAGAATCATTGTAAAGTTTTGAATTTGCCTATTAAGCAATCTGACAAAACCATAAATCCCATGGAAATTCCCCTTTATTGTATACTTCTTTAACTTACTTCTTTTCTTTATAGTTCTCAGTCTGTCTATAATTATATAAGTGCTCTCCTTTTTTGTTCTCAGTTTGTCTATAGTTTGCAAAGCAACATCATATTAAATACGTGGCACTGTGGACTAGATGCATCTCAGAGCCTCCTCAGGTTGTTTGTTCCAGACCCCAGAGGTCTGTCAGCTGCGGTTCTTGCCAGAGGTGCTTCTTTGCTTTTCCTGGTCCTTTCAGTTTTCTCTAAGTTGACCTGAGGTAACTGAAATATTGAGCCAAAGACGTGAGAGCAAGCAGGAAAGCACTAAATCCCCACTACAAAATAAGAAACCCAGGCACAAGGACAACTCTACACAGGCAGCTGATGGAAATCAAGGGCAGGGAATGGGGTCGAGAAGGCAGCGGCCTCCCCTTTGCTTAGTAACAGCAACAATGATAGAGACTAGTTCATGGATATTTATTCCAATCCAAAGAACTGAGATCAAACTTTCATAAGTGATTCACTTTTTCACAAATCTACTAGCATAAAGTATAACTGCTATTCCCCTATGTAAACTATCTGTAAACTGAAGCTTAGAAGGGCCCAAATGACAAGGCTGCTGGGTGCCTCCGAACTGTTTGGTGGCCACTGTCTGTGCTCCTAGCCACTGGGGAGCTGCTCCCTGCTTCCTAATCTCTCTACTCCTCCTCTGGCCATCATTGTGCTGGTACCATTCTAGCTCAGCAGGGAGCAGACTTCCTGACCTTGCTCCATCTTGGGCTAAGAGTACATCTGCTTAAATCGAAGTTAGTTGGAGCTCAGACCCTTTTCCCACCCTTTCAGCCCGGCCTTAGTGTCCTTCCCAATGTAGAATTTCCACATTTTAGAGCCACATCCCACATGGGGGTTCCCATCATGTGCCACCTTAGAGCCACTGGAGACAGTTCTGCTCAGCAGTGCTTCTTTATGTGTGTCTGTCATCCTGTGTCCCCGGGTCAGTACCCATGAGAAGGACTTACACTTTGGGCACAGGCACAGACCGGGGGCAGGGGTGACAGTTATGTCTGAAGGGGCTGTGAGAAGTCTCCAAATAATGAGCCAGGCCACTGGAAAACATGCCCAAGGGAACTAATGATCAAAAACATTTTTGTCCCCCACCCTGCAACTGGGAAGGGATAGAGCTGGCACAAGGGCAGTGATGATTGAGGGGTGAGAATACTGGTGACAACTGCTTCCGGTGGCCTAGGAGACCTCACTGGAAATGCCCCTGAGCAGTGCAGACTCAGAAGCTCCCCTCCTCAGTCAGCGAAGGCTCCTGGAGGTCCCTAGTCCATGCCATGCCTAGTCCATGTCCAGACCAGACAGCTCACCTGAGGGTCCTGTGCTGGAGTTGATCTCAGGGCAACAAAAACACAACTGCCAGGGTCAAGAAGGTCCCTGAGACAGGCACAGCAGGTTGGACACTCACGTTCCCAGTGCTAAGCATACAGCCAGGCCTCAGAGTTCCAGGTTTCCGAGCAGAGCACTGAGTGCTTCTTGCCAGAGCAGCTCTGTGCTCCTGTTTATAAGAAAGCTAGTCTAGGAGTGTTTGTGCGGACTCCTGCACCCTCCCTGGACAGCTGACTTGGAGCTTGTTTCTGATCCACGCCCTCATTGCTGGGACTCAGTGGGAGCTAGGGGAGCAATTACTGTGTCCCCTGAACTCACCTCCCCAGGGGGGATGACAGGAAAGAAGCCACCTGGAGCAGTTGCTCAGCCAGGCTCCACTTGGCTTTCTGTGGGGCTGCAGGACACTCCTGGGGGTGGGGGCACTTAGTAAGAGGATCAAGACTTGCCAGGCTGGGTTTGCACCCTATGTCCCTCATGGGTACCCTTAGGGGAATTTTACAACCTGGGTGTAGGCCTAAGTGGTTGCATCTATGTTCATCAGATTACTGGTCTGTAGTTTTCTTTGCTGTGTGTTGCCTGGTCAGGCTGGGATTCAGTACTAATATGCTCACTGAGATATGTGAGATAGGAGTAATTTCTCCCCTCTAGTTTTTGGGAAAAGTTTGAGCACAGTCAGTATTGACTTTCAGTGTGGATTGTAAATTGTAGGACAATAAAAACAATAAATTAAGAGAAATGATATATTGGAAATGGAGACAAAATGCTTTATTTTAAACCAGAAAAGGCAAATTATATTTAAAAATCACTAAGCAAGCAGGGCAGTTTAATAGGGTAGAAATAATTCCAATGGTCTTAACAGTCACTTCGAACGTGAATGACACAGCATTTTAAAAAGAGAGGAAGGGCTGGAGAGATAGTTCAGTGGGTAGGGCACTTGTCTGGCAAATGACAGACCTGGATTAGATCCCCCTGCATCCTATATGGACCCCAGAACACAGCTGGGAGTGATTCCTGACTGATGAGTCAGTAACCCCTGAGCATTGCTAAGTGTGGCCCCAGAATAACAACAATTAAGAAAAATGTAGAGGAAAGGGAAGCTGGAATGATAGGTGAGTCGGTAGGGTGTTTGCCTTGCATGTACCAACCCAAGATTGATCCCTAGAACCTCACATTGTCCCCTGAGCCCTGCCAGGACTTATCCCTTAGCATCAGGTGTGACCCCCCAAAAAGTCATAATAAAGAAAGGGAACATAGCAATAGCACAGCAGGTCAGGTGATTTTCTTGCATGCAGCTGACCTGGTTCCATCCCTGGCACTCCATGTGATCCCCAGATCTCACCAAGAGTGATTCCTGATCACTGCCTGGTATGGCCCAAAAACCACATGTATAGAAAGTAGTTGGGAGTGTGAAAAAGCCCTATGTGATGCTGTCTAGAAGACACATATTTTAATTAAAAATACTCAATTAGATTAAAAGTAGGGGCATGGAGAGCTATAAACCATGCAAATTCTAAGTTAAAGAAAGTCAGGAAATCTGCAATTATTTTTGACTAAACAGATCTCAGATCTCAGACTATTAATAAAAATGCTATAAAATAGTTTTTTTAAAAAAAGTTAATTTTTCAAGAAGATAGGATAATCCTGTATGTGTTTGGATTAGACAGAGAGAAAATAAAATTCATTTGGCAAGAAGGAACAGAAAGAAGGAGAGGGGAAATGGAATACTTGGTGTCACTCCATGGGAATTTTCTTCTAGTCAGATCAATTCAAGTGTGAGTGCTACAGAATTTTTAATTTTTAAAATAGAGGATAGGTGAGAGGAATATTGGGATCCGTGGTGGTGGGAAACAGGCACTGGTAGAGGGATGGGTATTTGATCATTATATAATTGAAATCCAAACACAAAAATTTGTAAGTCTACAACTGTATCTCATGATGTCTCATTAATAAAAATAAAATAAAATAGAGGAGAGGGGCAGAGTGACAGTGAGATTCCTAAAGGAAACTGGCTGTGAGTGGAGTAGCAAATACTGTGTGAGCCCCAGTATGGCCTGCTGGAGTTGGAGAGACTGGACAGTGGGTTTCACTAAGGCTGTGCAGAACAATCCAGTTTTCGAGTGGGAGACTCTTAATGCAGTGGTCCAGGCCCCTCTTCCTGTGGCCAGGTGAGCGGGGATGGAAGTAGCTGCCCTGTGGGGCACCCTGTCCAGCTCTGGAGTTTCCTGAAAACATGGATAGTCCTTCGACTTCTCCCAAAACACACTTGCTGTTGATGATCAGCACTTGTTTAGGCCCGAAAAATTTGTCACTGTCACTGTCCTCCCGTTGTTCATGGATTTGCTCGAGCGGGCCCAGTAACGTCTCCATTGCGAGACTTGTTTTTACTGTGTTTGGCACATTGAATACGTCACGGATAGCTTGCCAGGCTTTGCCATGCGGGCGGGTTACTTTCGATAGCTTGCAGGGCTCTCCGAAATGGGCAGAGTAATTGAGCCTGGGTTGGTGGGGTTGGCTACGAACAAGGCAAACGCCCTACCGCTGTGCTATCACTCCAGCCCCCGAGGAATTACAACTGGTATATTTTGCCTGACAGTGCAAAAGAGGAAAATACAGCCTCCTCCCTTAAAAGCCAAGTCCTGCAGCCCAGTTTGGGGGCAGCTCTGCAGGACAAAGGGGAACCCCACAAGCCTCCAGGTGCTGCGTTGTTGGCATTTCTCTCATTCTAGCCTGAGCACCTTTCCAGACAGCAGACTTGGGTCCAACGTTATTTCATGGAAAAAAAATCAATGTGCGTGAATTATCTGGAACCCTTTAAAACAGATTCCTCGGATTTGTTCTTGGGCTTCCTAAAAAAACTGTCCTTCTCAAAAGCTTCTAGGCAGTGCCACCCTATTTTCCAAGTACACTCAGCCATAGGCAAACCCGGGAGAAATCTCCACTGGTGGACACAGCAGGCAAATCTGGATTCTTGGGACACAGGGGGAGGTTACCTGCACCGGTGTGAAGGGATGCTGGGACCCAGCTCAGGGCTCTTGCGCATTTGGGCTAAGAGCAACCGGTCAGGGAGAAGCCTTAGTTAGGCCAGACAGGAACAGTGAATTCCCGAAAGGTCATAGCACTTGTCAAGACCACGGAAGCCGGTCAGCTGTTTGGCCAGGATTCTAGGCTGGCTTTCTGCTCAGCACCCATTCTTGCCACCCCTCAATCTTTCTTTGGTTCTTCAGGATTTCTGTAGTTCTCTTCAAATTTTGCTAGGAATATTGTCTTTAATCTGTAGGCTTGCTTTATCTCAGATAATCATTTCAATGATGCTAATTTTTCAGGCCCACAAATACAGATTATCTTTCCATTTCTATGTGTCATCCTTGCCTCTTAGTGGCATCTTACAGTTTTCAGTTTTCAGGAAGGATGACATGACAGAAAACATGGGACAAGGGTCATCGGTGAAGCTGGGATGGAAAACCAGGCTAATGAAGGATCTAGTATTATCTTTCATTATATAGTGTTGGGGGCTGGGGGGGGAGCCCTGGGCCTCAAACATTACAAAGCATATGTTCTCCCTATTGGGCAGCATTCCTGGCCAAGACAACTTTTAAAAAATTATTTATTCATTGGTTTATCCTCTATTGTGGTCTACGTGGTACAACTCACACAACAACCTTTCTTGTTTCTCCCATACCACTGTTCCTGGTAAAATAATCATTTTCATTGACTCTAGAAGTTATTTTTCTTGTTTTTCTTCCAATTCATTGCTTAGTTATTATATTCCACATATAAGTGAAATCATCAGTAATCGTGTTTTAATACATCTGCTGTTGAGGCTCTGAAGTGTATCAGCAATGTTTTCTTCTATATGCTATACGGTTTTGCATCTAATAACTAAGTTTTTGTCCCTTGGAGTTCTCCTTCATGTATGGAATTAAATTGTGATGCCATTTGTTGATGAGATTTTCCTGTCTCCATTGTACAGTTCTGGCTTCTTTATTATCTATTCATTTTCCATCCTTGTGTGTGAAGTTTTTCTGGGCTCTCTGTCTTTTAAATCAATCCGTTTTCTTCCAGCACTACATTGATGTAAGGTTGTATAAGTCAACAATGTAATGTCTCCACTTTTATCTCAGTCTTTCTTTGGTTCTTCAGGACTTTTTTGGTTCTTTGCAAATTTTGCTAAGAATATTGTCTTTAAACTATAGGGTTGCTTTAAGGTTAGGGTTTCAGATAATAATGTAAATTCTTATTTTTCTGACCCACAAATATAGATTATCTTTCTATTTCTATAGGTCATCATTTTCTTTTAGAGGCATCATACAGTTTTCAATGTACAGGTCTCTCACCTTTTTTGTTAGGACTGATTGTCAGTTATTTTATGTTTTGCTGTGATGAAAAATGATTATTTTCTTTCCGCCATTTCACTGTTCGCATGTAGAAATGTAACTGATGTTTATGTACTCAATTTGTACCTTGATACTTGTAAAGGAATATTTTGTGGTGTCTTTAGGGTTTTCTAGAATACTGTTGGTTACTGTCATTCCTTGTTAAATAGCAGTAGTTCTCTATTTCCTTTGCAATTTGGATTCCTTCCCTGGCTAATTCCTTCCCTTTGCTAATTGTTCTGGTTAGGACCTGCACAGTTTTGTTGCAAATAGCGATCATCTGAATGGGCTTCCTTGTATCTGTTCCAGAACTTCCACCCACTGACACTTGGTAGAGAGTTCCTGCTGGGAAAGGAGGATTGTCTCTGGAGGGAATTGGAGCAGAGGCAGTATGGGGCAGCACTTTTTACACTGACGACAAGAGACAGACTAGGTAGCTGTCAGGCATGAAGACACACTGAAGTGGACGGGGCCCTGGCCAGTGCGTTCAGAGGGCAAAGACGGCCACATCCACCGAAGACTTCAGGAAAGCAGCGGCAGCTTCCACAAGTGTTTGCAGGACACAGCCTGTGTTGAGAAAACAAGATTTGGGCCTCTGGGGGCCAGAGCGATAGACAATGTGTGCAGGGCAGTGTCCTCGCATGTGGCCAACCCAGGATCAATCCCTGAGACCCTTATGCACCCCCAAGCCTCACCAGGAGTGACTCCTGAGAACCAACAAGTGTGACCCAAATAACAAAAAAAAAGTTGAGCTTCTGGGATAAAGATGGCAACAACCACTCTACTCCCCATCTCCCCTAAGCCTCCCTTGTCATCCCTGGCTTCTCCAGTCCCCACAATGCTCAGCTGTGGTGCCATAGCTAGCAGCCCTGCAGACAGAATCCTGTCCTGGTGTGGCTGACACTGATATGGGAAGAACAGATGTACCTTCTCCCTCACGCCCGCCCACTTCTCTCCAAGGACAAGGGTCTTGGGACTGTGCTCCTACCTGTGTGGTTGTGAATCCAGGCCACCGCCTTCCTTTCCAGAAGCTCCCACTCACACTTCCGCCCCTGACCGTTGGTGTGCAGCCAGGTCACTGCCAGAACTGTGGCCCAGCAGGAAGGCTCCACGTCCTGCGTGACAAACAGACTTCGCTGGAGCTCTTGGCCCTCCGTGACTCCCTCCCATTTCCACATAGAATTTTCTGATCATTTTATCATGGGGGTGCCACAATGCCAGGCCTGAGCCTCAACCTCAAGGCAGCAGACCTCTGCTCTTGGCATTTTCAGTTTTTAGTGTCAGGTAACTGCTCCATAAAATTAATTCTATCAGGAGTAATTGGTGGGGGAAGTAGAAGTGTTCTACTCCCTTCCTTTAGCCCTTAAGTCATCGGCTCCTACCGGACCACTAGCTACTTGTCCTTTCTGCTCTAATTTACCCATTAGCCTCTACTTTGAGGAAATTTATTAATCCTTGCTCTGCACTCAGGAATCACTCTTGGTGGTTCCAGGGGACCCTATGGGATGCCAGGAATTAAATCCAGATGGGCCATGTGCAAGACAGTTCCCCTCCCAGCTGTGTTCCAGTCCATACTTTGCAGAAATTTAGACCCTGGACTCGAATGCTCTCCTTCCTCGGGTGGGCTGTGACTCACCCTGATTCTGATTTCTGACCCAGTCTCTCAAAAACACAATCACTCCACTTCCACCTTCTCAGAATCTTACCTTGACAGTCAGTGCCGCCATCATGTCTGGCAGATTCACCCCAAGAATGGTGGCCAGCTGGTCATCTAGCTCCCAGCAGCCGTTGGCCCTCTGGAGGATGATCAGCTTCAGGAGCTGATCAGTCTCAGGCACTGTGGGGAGAAAGAGAGCGGGGTGAGAATTAGGAGTCCTGGCCCGTGGCCTGGATGGCACAGATTGGGCTCAAGTGGGCACCGCATGTTGGCGCCAACACTGCAAGCTGTGCTCTCACCATTGGGTGACAACTGAAAGCTAACATGACATTGTGGCAACAATGACCATTTCTGGCAGAACACGATGGGGCCAGCCTGTCAGCTAGAGCCTCATTTTAACCTTTCCAAAGGGAGTACCTCATTGGGACTCTGGTAACCTCCCATGGTGTGTGGTTTTCAGGGAACCCACAGGACAAAAGAACCCACAGGACAATGCTTTGGGGGAATCCCACTCAGTGTAGTCAGGGCTTCTGGTATCTTAAATTTCTCGAAAAATAGAGTCTCGATATCAGGACATCCAACCAGAGGCTGAAGAGACAGCAGGGAAGGTGCCACCCTTGCAAATGGCCAGTCCGAGTTCAGTGTCTGGCATCACATGGCCCTCTGAGCAGTGTCAGGAATAAACCCTATGTTCAGAGCCAGGAAAAATCCCTGGTCAGAGCCGGGTGTGGCCCCAAAAACAAACAAATGAGAAAAAAACAAAAAAATTTGCAAGGAAAGTAGATTCAAAGGAAACCCTCTACAAAATCTGTGAAAAAAAAAAACACATGAAAATTGCTTAGTTTTTATAGAAACATACATCTTATTATCAAATGGGATCATGGAGTGACATAGAAATCAGTAGGTAAGAAAAATCAAAAGGAGAAAACACTTCTCTCACGGGGAAAGAAACTGCTCTGAAGTAAACTTTTCTCTGTTTGTTTTGGGGCCACAACCACTGCTGCTCAGGGGACTACACAGGGTGTTGGGCTTGAAAGTGGGTCAGCCTAGGGCCAAGCCAATGCCCAGACCTATCTCCCGGACCCTAAAGTCAACTGCCTTAATATAAATCTCAGCTGTTACTCAAAATGTCATCATCTGTAGGAATCACCACTTTGTATTTGGGGAAAATGAAGACTTGTTCTGAGAAGGATTTACAGGACCTAGACTGGTCCTGTCCAAACAGTGGCACGAAAGGATCCACCACATCAGTGAGCCCATTCAGAGGACACAGAGTGGGTGCTTAAGTGACCAGGCTCTCAGAAGCGCGTTGTCCAGGGCCTGACTGGGCTGAGAGGACTAGGAAGGCTTGGTGAGTCTCACCTTGTGCATCTTCCAGTTCTTGTGCTTCTGACTCGTCTTTCGACGGATTGCTTCCTAGGCAAAACACAACATCTTCTGGGTCCGAAAATCTCTCAGAAGCTTGTACGTGTGGTGTGATCGTGGATGAAGAGCAAGTCCTTATCCCCATTGAAGCAAGACGTGATTTACGTAACTTCTTAAAGATGCCAAGACGAGGTTTTGATAAGGGGACTGTGTGAAGGGCAGACATTGGTGAGAAAAGTCCCTGGAAATTTGCTCTCCTAGATGGTCCATTGGTATTTGATGGGTTAGAACCCACCCGTCCAAAACTCACAACCCCTAACCATGGCAGCCTCTGTGCCCTTTCTCCTACCCTAAGCACAGTGAAGCTCATCCCACAGTGCTCTCTGGAATATGTGACTCATGATGGGAAACTTCTTTGAGCACTTTATCTTAATTTCAAACTAAATCTTCTGTCGCCAACACTGTGCCCCCCAGCACATTGCCGTGAGTGGCCTTGAAGCTGAAACTTCTCTCATCATGAGGTATGGCATGAAAAGAGGCTTGGAAACTCAGGCAGATCACCTGTGCCAACCCGAATCCCCTTGTGAACACAAAGTCTGTTTCTTCAGTTGTCTAATTCAGAGATTTTCTACCTCGGAGCACCTAGCCTTTCTTCTTAGTTCTTGACTTTGCCCCACTCCCATCAGGATCTTCAGTGTCAGGAATCTTCAGTTGCTAGATTCCTTTCCCTCTCATGCACCCAGCCAAACCCCAAGTGTGAGTTACGTGAGCCAACGCTCGGCTACGTTCTCACCACGAACTGCGCCAGAGAAAGGCTAGAATCATAGCACCCTGTGAGGGGCCTGTGCCCGCAGCTGCTCATCCAACTCTGCCTCAGAAAACCTGCTGCCATTTTGACATCCGACTCAGTCACTCAGACTGTCAGAATCACAAAAGCTTTCGCCTGCATCTAAGAATTAATTTCAAGCTTTTTGTTGGATGGGTGAGGGCTAGGAGGTGGAGAGGCTGTCCTAAGTCTCATAAGCAGACCCTGGCCTAGACCTCACCCTCTCTTCCTCATCAGCTTCCTTCTGGTCACCAGCAGTTTGAACCCTCTGCGGGGACATTCCTATTAACAGTATACATAGCCAAGACACACAACTTGCAGCCCTGTCTCCAGGTGAGTAAGCGTGCCTACTCCTTTTCAGTTTCCCACCACTCATTGACAGTCGGACTAGAGATTTCTTCTTGATCTGAGCCAAATGGCTCGATTAGATTAGCAAGGGCCTTTTTAAAAATAATTTTTATGATTATTATGATTATTAATGACCTGGGTAGGAGCGATGGCATAGAGGGTAGGGCATTTGCCTTGCATGCAGCCGACCTGGGTTCTATTCTTCCGCCCTTCTCGGAGAGACGGCAAGCTACCAAGAGTTATTCCACCCACTCGGAAAAGCCTGGAAAGCTACCCGTGACATATTCAATATGCCAAAAACAGTAACAACAAGTCTCAAAATGGAGACATTACTGGTGCCCGCGAAAGAAAATTGATGAACAAGGGGAGGACAGTGCTGCAGTGCTACAGTGCTATTAACGACTTGACCATTTTCAGAGCCTACTGCTGGCTCTTCGGCAGAGCCTGGCAAGCTACCCATGGAATATTCGATATGCCAACAACAGTAACAATAATGGGTCTCATTTCCCTGACCCTGAAAGAGCCTCCAAAACAGCAGCGCTGGGAAAGACAAGTAAGGAGAGGCTGCTAAAATCTCAGGGCTGGGACGAATGGAGACGTTTTGGGGCCTGCTCGAGTAAATCGATGAATAACAGGAGGACAGTGATACACTGATACAGTGATGATTATTAACCAATAATCCACCCCACCTTTGACTTCTCTGTAGAATCTGATTCTTTTGCCCCTTTGTTCTATCACAGATCTCCTTCTACTGTGAATATTCACCCACTTTTCTTTCCACTCTCATCCTTTTTTCTTGGGAAGGGGGTGGAGGGGTTGCATTACACTTAGCATTGTCTAAGGGATCTCCAGAGATCCAACAGTTATATTCCCAAAAATGTCTAATGAACTGCCAGGGAGAAAATCAGACCCATCCAAATGTAAGAACATCCTTACGTCTCTCTATGTATAAAACAAATAGCCTATATTTTTCCCCACTATATTTCTGGCCCCACAGTCCTTGGAGACCCCTTCCTAGCGATGATATATTTTCTACCTTTTCATCTCACTTTATACTTTCCCTCTGAATAGTTTCTTTCATCCATATGACTAGTCATGGTATATAGGATCAAATGTTTATCTTCATTCCTCACTGCTCTTCCAATGCCAAACACATCTGTCTACAGTTCATATGGATATTCCATAAGCATTTTCAATTAAAAATGTTCAAAAAGAATTCAATATAGGAGTCTTTAAACTCCAATATTGAGGGGAAGGAGGGTATGCCTGGGTTAGCCACATGCAAGGCAAGTGCAAATTCCCTGTATTGTCACTCTACCACCCCGCTTCCACCCACCCTCACACACGAATACACACACACACACACACAAACTCACACACTGTTAAACTCAAATTGTTACAATTATGTGCCCAATCTAGCCTTTCCTTGCTAGAAAAAACATTACCCAACCTAAGGATCCCACCCAGGGAATTTCTCACTTGATATGAGTCCCCAGGAACCTGTCCTGGCACCATCCTGGAGGTTGGCACACATTCTCTTCCCTCTGCCACCAGACTACTCATTGTTAACCAGCTTCAGATTTATACTACGAGACAACTCAGTGGTTTATCATTTGTGTGTGTGTGTGCTCTCTGCTTTCATGCTCTCTAGGAAAAAAAAAGGCTTTTGTGCCAGCCAGGAATCCTAACTGCAAGGCAGCGAAGAGGCAATGTCATAGAAGAGCTCTCACAAGCTCTCATGAAACGATATGCCATCCAAGACCCCGAGTCCATCTGAGTCTGCATGGGATCAAACTCACCGGATAAACAGAGCATTGGTCCAGGTGAGTATGATAGTGGGGTGGGGCACTGAAAGAGCATTGACGTCGGGATGTTCCTTTGAGCCAGAGGCCCCTGAACTGGCTGGTTGAGGGCCTTGTCGATGGCGATGAAAGCAGTGTGGGAGCTCATGACTCCACACTCCAGGCTGGCTTGGACGATGGTTTTCACATCTGCCTCGTCCGTTCCCCAGCGGCCCATGTCCTTGGCCTGGATGAAGGCCTTGGCAGCCAGGCGGTGGACAGTGAAGCTGAAAGGAAAACATGGCTGTAGAGTCGGGGACAGAGATGGTGGGACAGACGGAAGAGGGAAGGAGAGGGGCGTTCTCACTTGGGGTCCAGCTGGCTTTGTAGAGGAAACGTCACCTTATTCTCCACACTCTTGCCTTGGAATGTGTACTTGAAGCAAACCTTGCCCGTTACCTCCGCTGACTACAAGAGAGAAGAGCGGGAATGGTGTTGGAGACAGAGCAGCTTCCCAGCCCTGATGCACAAATGCTCGTGAGGAGAAATCAAGGACTAGGCATGAGAGGGTAAGCCGGGAAGCAAGGGTTGCCACTTCCTGGCAAGTGTGACCCACTCCCCCCCCACCAGCCCATCCTTGCACCGGCCTGGAAACTCACCGGCATGGTCCCCAACAACTGGGCATAGATGATTAACCTCTGGCCCTGAAAGACGGAAGTCTCTGGTGGAGAAAGCAACTGAGCAGACAGTCCAGAGGGCAGATCCCAGCTCAGAGAGACCCCCTCGACAGTGGGCTGCAGAGCACGTTTCAGGGACCTCAGGGCCTGGTGGGAGAAAGAGCAGCAGCAGAGAAAATAGAGCCAGAGTTATCCCCTTGGCCTTTATTCTGCACCAGAGCCCTGAAGCAAACGAGACACCAACGTCATCACTCTGGCTTTCCAAGCACAGAAGTCGAAGCCGCAGTCCTGAGAGCAGGAGGAAAGGAGGTACCAGAGCAGTTTAGTTTATCAGTTTCTCAGCCTTTATCTCTGATTGCAGCCCCCAAGCCCTGAATTAGAACCTTGGGGACTAATACAGAGGTGGGAAATCAGAAGGAGACACCTCCTCCAATCTCCCCAGGTCTTCCCTTGAGTGAGTTTTACCCAAAGTCAAGCTGTGCCCAGATGCCCTGAATTTAAAGAATTCCTTCTCATGCTAATGGGCTATAAAAGGAGTTATTCAAAGAATGCTCAAACCCTCTTGTTCGGACTGCTTGGTGTCGCTGCCATTTCCCTAGGCCCTGGGAACATGTAAACCCTGTTGAAGGAGAGGAGCGTTCCCACAGAGTTTATGGGGTATCCGGGGGAACCCTGGAGGAGAACACGCACAGCCCCTACCTTGGACTGCATCCTGTCTTTGCCCGTGATAAACTCTGCAGCGCCCCCAGATGCCCGGGCGATACCTTTTATGAGGCTGGTGGAGGCGCCTTCACCAATGCCAAATGAGAAACACCTGTAATAGGCAAAAGTCAGCGGTCAGAGGCAGGCCCTAGGGGGAATCATTGGAACCAAGCATGTTCCAGAATACTTGTAGGAGGGGCTGGAACAATAGTACAGCGGGTAGGACATTTTATTTGCACATGACCAACCGACATCCCATATGGTCTCCTGAGCACCTGCCAGGAGTGATTCCTGAGTGCAGAGCCAGGAGTAACCCTTGAGTCTCATTGGGTGTGACCCAAAATATGGAAAAAAAAAACCCTAAAGGTGGTTCACTTTCCGGACTCGAGGCTTAACAGAACCCCTGAACGAGCTTCTTCTGTTCTCAGAATGTATTTCCTGTGTACCTTAACATCTTCATGGAGGCCCGAAAAGGCAGACTCCATTCCACAGAGAAGAGAGGATCAACTCACGGAAAAAACTCATGCAGGCCCACACACCTGCTAGAAACTGTGGGCTGACCACTCCTGCAGTTGAGACTTCTGACTGCTGTGCCTTTGGGGTATGTTTTACTTTAACTAGCATGTTTAAGGTTTCTTGGGATTTTTTTTAAGTCGTATTATTTATTTATTCCCTAGTGGATTCACAGGAGCTTGGGGTGATGACTGGGTTGTATGGTTGTTGCTGGTCTCAGGGAGAAGTCACCTTCTCTTCTTACCTGTGCTTTGGGCTGTTTTTTCTGACTTCTTCAATGACCCTGGATGTGTCAGTAACTTCTCCATCTGTGAAGACAAAGAGCTGCATGGGGGGGGGGGGGGGGGGGAAGGGCTCGTAAGTCCTCTGGTGCTAAGGAAGTTCAGGGATGTGGGTTTCCTTCTCCACCTGTTTACCTGGAGAGGGTGGTCTGGGATGGAAGGCGCTTGGTAAATAATCTGGAGTGGGTTCAGGATCTCCGTGCCCCCCAGGTTGGCTTTCAAAAGCTTCACTCTATTCAGTGCTTCCTCCATGGTCTTCTGCGTGTACTCCACACTCTTACTGAGAAAAACACCCGTCAGATCAGCTGGTCCCTCACCTCAGATGCCGCCTGCCCCTGAACACGCATTCTTGAAATCCCAATCAGTTCTGGAGTAGCCCCTGACTTGGATAGTAGCCAAGTCCTGCCCCCCCTCTCGTTTATGGGCCACTCCTTGTCCTGTTCTCTTCACTTACTCCTGGCTGGGTTGGCCACGTACAAGGCAAGCTCCTTCTCTTCTATAGTATCTCTCCAGGCCCCCTTCAAACTCTCTTTTTTAGACACGCTGTGGCCTTTCTAGAAACTTACTTAAAGAATGTTTCATAGGAAGATCCAAATCCATGGATATTGAAGTAACACCCCAAGGGCAAACTCTTCAGCAGCAAGATCAGTGTTTCCTAAAGGAAGAGTACATGGGGGCGACAGGTAGAGCCGGGTCATTTCAGAAATGTTTGCTGCTCAAAAGGCAATTCCTGCGGGCCAGCCTTCACCACCTCTGGGGACCAGACCGTGTGATACAAAGCTTCGGAATGGTTGTACAAGCTGTAGCTTATATGTTCCACAGACCCCAATTTGGCCCCTGAGATTTATTCTTCCTTGAGCATGTGAAGAAGAAAGAAATAGCTTTACCTTGGCTGCCTCAATGCGTGACTGAGGTGAATCCTTATTCATAGGGCAATCCATGCTCCCTGAACGGTCCATGAGGAAGACAAATTCTCCACAGGCTTTTGAGGGCTGAGTCTTTGGGATATCTGGGTAGAAACTCATCATTGCAGATGGAGCTCCCATCAGAGAATCTACTTGGAAAGTAGAGGGGCACCATAAGACACAAAGGAACTCAAGACCCCTCAAGGCCTCCCAGAGTCAATTGTCATTTGTCACGCAAAGAGCTAAGGGAATGCATCTGAAAACACCGCCTGAGCTTATGGTCTATCTGTGGGCAGGTAGTTTGAGCAGAGTGATATAAATAGGAGACAGGAAAGAGGAACAGACACATAGGAAAGACGCAAGAACACAGGATACTGGGTACGTGCAGAACTAGCGCATCTTAACTACAGGTAACCTTCCTATCAGTCGAGCAAATGAGGAAAACACATTACACAAGAAAATAAAGTTGGAAGAGTTGAACTAAAATTTGTCCAATTTATATTGGATGCCTTTAACAAGCGTCTGAGGTCTCCAAGCTACTCGGTTTGGAACTGGGCCTTCTCCACCCAAACCCCCCATCTTCCAGTAGGTAGGCATCACACCCAGCAGCTGCCGCCAGCGCCAGGTTGGTCCCATCAATGGCCAAGACACCGAGACTATAAAACCCAGCTCCTGGAAGCTTGCTGCCGCGACCTCTTATTATTTTATTTTTCCTTTGGAGAACCTGGCAAAAGTATCCTGCCCACACGGTAGAGTCTTGCAAACTTCCCGTGTCATACTCAATATGCCAAATACCAGTAACAATGATGGGTCTCATTCTCCTAATCCTGAAAGAGCATTGAAATGGCTCTTTTAAAATCTCAGGGCTAGGAAGAAGGAGATCTTACTGGTGCCTGCACAGGGAAATCGACGAAGAACAGGATTATCGTGATTGGGATCCTGCCTTTCACGAATCATCATGAACAATTTCGTAAAACACTGTTTATATAGTATAAGGGATAAAATTTACATATATAGGCCTTACTGTTCCTTTTAAACTCAAATATATATTAGCAGAATTGCTTTAAAAGTGTTATTAATGATAGGTGAGACATGATTATTGCCATAGTGAGATACAAATATAAAATAAAACTTAATGTAATATACTTTAGATTCCAGAGTTGAAAGTGTCCACATATAAATGGGAATTGACATTTCTTTATATTGTACTAAATGGTTTTAATTTATGTACATAGATCAAAATCACACAGTAATAACTAAATGGACCTTACTGATTTATTTTTATAATTATTTAATTTTTCAATTCTTCAAGTTTGTTTGGAATAAGCAATATAAGGTAAATTTGTTTATGTGCCTATGGGGGCAAGTTGGGATTGGGAGGGAAACTGGGGATATTGGTGGAGAGAAGAACACACTGGTGGGGTTGGAACACTAAATGCTTGAAACAATTGTATGATGAACAACTTTGTAAATCACAATGTTTTTAATAAAATTAATTCAAAAAATTTGTCCAACTTTTTCTCTTGGCATTCTTTGAAAGTCTCCTTCCCCCATTTTATTTAGGCTATCAATGTATGTTAATTTAGTGACAATACCTTTACTAAATTACGAGTCATATTGATTTATCACTGATAAAATATTATGAGTCAGTATGATTGCTGTAAGAGTTTGGACACTCATTAATCTTTGATATTAAAATGGCAGAGAAAATCTTCAGTGCATATTTTACTTAGATTTAGTTTGACAGGTAAGATTCTCCAAAGAAAACTTAACCAAGTAATTATTTTGACACATATGAACAAGTTATGTTTGCATCAAGCAGATCACTAATGTGACAATGCCCCAGAGGGCCAAGGAGCGAACTTGAGATAATTCTGTGAAAATGTCACACATTCCTTTGTGTTTGTCAAAACTGATCTTTGTCACTTGTTTGTAAATAGATTTATCACTTACAAAGTATGCTGGGTAAAGGAAAGAGGTGTGGGTGGTTACAGGGCAGGGTGTTCCCCACAGGAAGAAGGGAAATACCAGGTTTGGCGTTGGGTTCTCCCATTTCCACGGTCACATTGGGGGTATGCACCTCCTGGTAGTAGATCAGTAGTTCCACATCTCGGTCAAACTTGTGACCATCAGCCAGGGAAACCTGAGGCGGGAGAGGACCAAAGATCACACAGGACCCTCTCTGATCACTTAGGGCGGTGGTGGGTGCTGAGGGCAATGAGCTTCTTCCCCTCATTAGTAAGGGGATAGAAGAAACTCTAGGGGGCGTGGATCGATAGAACAGTGTGTAGGGTGTCTGCTTTGCACTCAGACAACCTGAGTTCAATCCCTGGCATCCCATAGGGTTCCCCAGGCATCGCCAGGAGTAATTTCTGAGTGCAGAGTCAGTAACCCCTGAGCATCACTGGGTTGTGACCCCCACCATCCCAAAAATAGGAAACTTCCAGGAAAGTCTGAGGATCTGGATCAGGACCCAGGACTGGCCCATACCCAGCGCTGCTCCAAGTGAGCCCGTCACAACCTACCTCAGCAGAAGTTCTATCATTCCCAAGGTACTTGATGGCATTTAAAGAGCAGTTCGACTGGATCCTGTCAATGGTGTGCTGGGAGCGGACGGAGGCAGCCAGGCTGAGTGTGTAGGGCAGAGGCCTCTCGGGGTCTTTGGGGCACTGCATGCTGAGAAGGCTGTTGTCCAGCGAGCCTACCAACAGTGGCCATGGTCCCATCATCCCTCACCGCGCTCGTGGTACCCAAATCCATCTGGGGCAAGCCACTCACCTGACAGCTGGTAGCGTGGGTTCAGGACAGCGGGAAGCACATAGCGCAGGGCCCCGTCGGCCTCCACCGCTAGCTCCCGCACATACTTGAGCGTGAGGGCCGCACGCGAGCCTGGGGGCAGGTTGCCCACGCTGCAGCAGAAAATATCCCCTGAAAGTGTGTCCTCCTCCAGAAGGAAGGCCTGGTGGCCCTGGCTCAGGGCATCCTCGTACTCGCTGTGGGCCTGTGGGTCAGGGGAGGATATGGGGCATCACAGGCAAGCCCTCCTGCCACCACAGCCACGCTGAGCACCTCGCAGTAGTTAGAGGGAGCACTGCGGGAGGAGCGCGTGCCCCCAGCATGTCCCAGGCAGCGGTGTTTGCTTGAACCCCGCTAGAAAGTTCCTTGAGGAAGCAAGAGGGGTGACAGGTACACTGATTCCCTGTACCTTCTCCTTGTCGCGCAGCTCCGCCACGATTGTCCTTCCGTTCACCAGGGCCTCGAAGGAGTAGACGGCAGAGTCCTCATCCATAGGGAACACGAAGAAGGCCTCCACTGGAACCGCCTCTTCATTCTCATAGTTCAGCGTGGCAGACACGTCAGCCACAAACTCCAGGATAGACACGCTCACGGCGATGCTCTTCAGTGGTACTGGGGGAGATGGGGTGCAGCTGACGTCAAGAAAGGCCCCTTGTCGCAGGGGTCAGTGAGAAGCAGGGATCAAGCTTACCTGGTTCCTGCTTCAGGGTGACAAGGCCACAGGGACAATTCATGGTGAGGTGGGTTACCGTGGAAACAGCAGATGAGCAGCAGAAGTCACTGGGGACATAAGAACATCTTGGTTCAGCACCCCAACTTCAGTTCAAAGTGGTGTCTGCCCACATGATTCCCCTTACTGCCTGAAATGCTCTGAGGGGAGGGGGCTCTAAGGGGCACTCAGTAGGGCCCAGGGCGCAGCAGCGCTTCTCGAACGGGCCACGGTTCAATGCAAGGGTCCTAGGATGCTGTGGGCACATTAGGGGCTTGGGGGTCTGTAGCCAGGATGCTCAGAGTAGCATTTCTGATGCCTGGAATCTGACTAGGAATGGTCATGTGCCAGGCATGTGCTAACCCCTGTCTGACCTCTCCTGTCCCCAAGAAATGCCATTTCTTATACTCGCGTCCCTCAAATCTGCACCAGCAAAAGGAGTTTTCTTCCTGTCTGTTTTTTCTTCTGTGCACTGGGTAAAAACTGAGCTAGCCAGTAAGTGAATGATGCTTAGAGGGCTCGCTCGGGATGGGAGATGCGTACTGAACGTAGACTATAGACCAAACATGATGGCCTCTTACTCTCTGTGTTGCAAACAATAACACCCAAAAGGAGAAAGAAAAAGAGGGAGTGTGCCTGCCACAGAGGCAGGGGGTGGGAAGGGATGGGGATGGTGGGAGGGATACTGAGAACATTGGTGGTGGAAAACAGGCACTGGTAGAGGGATGGGTGCTCGATCATTGTATGACTGAAACGTAATTATGAAAGTTTGTAAGTCTGTAACTGTACTTCACGGTGATTCATTAAAAATAGAAAAACATAAAAACTGAGCTGACCAAATCAGCTCATGTTTTGACACAGCTAGAGGGCAGCGGGGGCTGAGGGAGAGGCTGGCATCAGACGTAGGTGGCCATCGTGTGCCAGAATATCATCGGCATCAGCTGGGAACACAGAGCAGCAGGACTGTCGGGTCCCTCACTGGGCTCTACTCCAGTGGACAAGGGCCCTGCATGGGGGTCTCCACTCCCTCACTGCAAGCCCAACTCAGGGCCCTCCTCTGCATGCTGCCCTGGGGTGATGCTCTCACACATGCAGGACACAGCAGGTAGGCAACTGTAAGGTGAATTTAAAGTACCACAGACAACTGCTGGTCTTCAATAGTTGAAAATAAATAAATAAAACCACGAAAAGGCCCAGATTTGCAACCACAATTCAAGCCTTGAATCTGATAGAGCTGGAAAAAATACCCATTGAGACGACTGTTCAGTAAATTCTTGAAAACCCACAGAAGGCCACTCAGGGCTCAGCCACATGGGGGCAACAGGAGGAGCCGGCCAGCAGCCCAGGAGAAGGGGGACCCCAACAGGGAGGCCATGTGGGGGCGGTGGGATACTGGAGCTCTGGAGAAACATGTAGAACCCTCAGGAACGGACTGTAACCGAAGTGGGCAGGGCAGACCCTGGTCTTTCTCTCTTAAAAGGTTTAGGGGCTTCACACAACAGGGGCAGGGGTGCTTGAAGCATCATTTCCCCACATAGACCGAGAAAGCAGGTATCTGAGAGCCAGGACAGGCACTTGTTCTGCCTGTGGCAGCCCTGGGTTTGATCTCTGGCACCACATATGGTCCCCCCCAGTTTTTAGAGTGATCTTGATCACTACAGGCTGTGACCCTGCTAAAGAGGGAAAGGGAAAGAGAAAGAGAAAGCATTTATTTTTCAGGTGAAAACAAGAAGAGGGGCAGAGAGATGATCAGGCTGTGGCTGGGCTCCCCTTCCATCTTACAAGATCCTATAACTGCCATGTTTGTAGGAACCTCCAGGGTTCCTACAACTCACCAGCACCCAAATCCTTGCCCTGGAACTTGCAGTGAAAATAAGAGAGGGACATAGGGCATAGTACAGTGGTTAGTGCATGCTAGTCATAGACCTGACCAGGGTTTGATTCCCGGAATCACATGGTCTCCTCCCCACCCACACCCCAGAGGAGCCCTGGGTGACACCCTGGAGATAGTGTCCCAGGCATCCTGAGCACTATAGGACCCAAAAGCGTCTCCTTCTGGGCCTTGGCACTGAACTGGAACTGCAGACCAGAGCACAGCTCGGGGTTGGGGTCAACAATCCAGCCTGGAGGGGGCAGGGAACCAACAAGGGAGGCGACCCAGCCCACATACCTTCTCCTGCAGCCACCAGCTCTGCCACAGGCAAGAGAAAACAACCAGGGTCAGCTGTTCCGGGAACACCCCACCCTTTTCTAGGGACCGACTCTAAAGTAACGACCTTGTGACTAAGGGATCGTTGAGAAATTCTGAAGCTATTGTACTTTCACTTTCGCTGCCTGAGCTGAGAACTCTCCAGCACTTTGATGTTTGCTGTCCTGCCTTTGCCCAGCCTCTGCCAAGGAAGAATCAGAGCCTAGGCAGGAAATGATTAGGACCTCGCCCCCCCATGCCCACCCGCAGAGAAAATGCCAAAACCGTATAAACAATAACATCAAAAACCAGCTTCTGGCAGCAGAGACCCTTGCTGAGTCCTCCATCCCTGCAAATAATACTTGGTGCTGTCATCAGGGAACCATATGGGAGTTCGCTGTAGTCCTGAGTTCTCATCTCAAAATGCTTTGACTCATTAACTCAATGTGTCCCCACAGTAAGAGAGAAAGGAAGATGATCAGGGCCATTGGCACAGAGGCCAAGTCTTCAGGGATGCCTTCATCTGGACCTGGAATTGTGAGCTCCCTTCTTGGATGAAGTGCTAAAGGAAACTGCATTTCCTACTTGCCTTATTTCAAAGTGATCTATGAAAGCTGAGGCTTCAAAAAGCACACTGCTGTGGAGAATCTGTTTAGGGAGAAGGAGGTGGGATGTGTGAAGAGCTAGCCAGACAAGGTCTCTGCCATGGGCCCCCTGCAGCCTCCCACACTCTCTGCATCTCTGGACTTCCCTATAAAATGGGGATATTAAACACACCCATTTCCCTGGGTTCTTCTGGATTGTTTTGAGAGATGGAACTGGTGTTTTGTTTTTTTTTTCTTTTAGGGTGAGAGATGGGAGGATGTGAGTTTAGGCCAGAGCCGGCAGTGTTCAGCTTGTTCCTGGCTCTGTGCTCAGGGAACATCCCTGCCAGTGTTCAAAGGATTATATATACATATGTATAATTGCATTTATATATATATATAGTGAGGAGGATCAAATTACATTTAAAAAAAGCTTTTTAGGCCCTGTACTCTGTCCAACCCTCACTTTGGCTTTCTTGAATTGATCTGATTATATTCTAAGTATTTGGAAAATCTTATGCCACGTAAATTTCAAAAAAGAAAAAACGAAGAGTATCAAGGAAAGAACCTTGGAGGCCAGAGTGATAGTACAGTTAGGAGGGTACTTCCCTTGCATGCAGCTGACCCAGGTTCTATTCCTGGCACCCCCTCTGCCCCTCCAGAAGTAACATCAAAAACCAGCCTTGGTCTTGAGTGCAGAGCCAGGAGTAACCCCTGGGAACCACTGGCTGTGGTCAAGAATCTAAAAAAAATTAAAATGGTGGAGGTGCAGGGTTGGGGGTGGAGGGGTGATGCTGGAACTATAATAGGTAAATGACTCGTGCAGGTAAGGTGCTGGCCATGCACACAGTCTGCCTGTGTTCAATCGCCAGCATCCCATATGGTCCCCGAGCACCATCAGGAGTGATACATATAAATAGAGCCAGAGGCAACCCATGAGCACTGCCAGGCACATCCCAACCACTCCCACAAAAAAAAAAAAAAGAAAAAAGCGTAAAGGAACCTTATATTTCTTGTCTATTCTTCAGATTATAAAAGTATTTTTTGTCTTATGATCTCTGCCCACAATTACCAGTAGTTAGAACCCCAAAAGCAACAAAACAGAAATAAAAATCTTTGACTTAGAAGGAAAGGGAAAAAGAATATTGTAACACAGTAAAGTAATCCCTTTCATTCAATTTCACTAAAAAGTTTCAGAAAATGTTTCTACTTCTTATAAGTGTCACAATCACCTTATATTAAACAATAAAAATGTGACATTTCAATAAATATTAGGGACCAATAAAACCAGACATATAGTCAATGAGAAATTTTCTCTTTCACATCGAAAACTTCGGAATTCAATGCCACACTTTCCCCACTATGTTACAATTTCTCCCACACGCAAGAGGTAAGGAAATAGGTAGAAATAACAGACTAGGTAAATAGCTGAGTCAAATCCTAAGATCCACAAAGAACAAAAGTGGTCCATGGGATGCCTACCCAGAGTATGGAAAATAGCATCCCTGGGCCTACTAGCTCACCGATTCCCAGGATATCGGAAGGAGGCTTAACCAGCGTATATTCTCTCTCCTCTTGAACAGGCAGCACTCAGCACTCCCTCTGTTCAGGAGCTGCTTGTCCCTTTGACCTGGGCTATATAATGGGTGTGACTTCAGAGAGAGGGCAGAATCATTCAGAATGGACTGTGACTCATTCAGAATCCTGCACTAGCAGGAGATGGTCTAATTCTGCAGTCTCTGAGGAAGTCACCCCACGTGACAGGACAGAGATATGAGATTACAACAGCATCTCCGCAGTGTGTGACTATGAATGAAAAAGCACAGTGGTTAGAGACCCCAAGACCAATTCCATGAAGCTGAAAGAAGATGAGCATTGGGGATGAAGAGTTCTACAGAGTTCTGTAGAAGATCAAAGAAGAGAGAAATATTTGATTTACTTCTTAGAGCCAAGCATGACTTTTCACAAAGAAGTGATCAGGGAAGGGCTTCCTTTTAATTTCATGTGCAGACTGGATTTCTTTAATCATTCCCTCTATAAACTAGAATGGTGAAACACGCTCACTTATTCTTCATTTCTTAGTCATTAATTCAGCACCTACCACATGCCCTGTACCACACATCGGTTCCTTACAATTAGAAACTTAGTTTTTATTCCCTGATGTGGAGCAATGTAATTTTATGTCACAGAGAATACAATTACCTCTATAAGCAGAGACTTGGAAAACACATTCTCCAGGCTCTTGTGAAATCCTAGGAGAATGTCTGAGTTTCATCTTCAACTGCTCCGCTCTCTTCTTTTTTTTCTAAACCAAAGCATCTCTTTTATTTTTTAGGAGGTAGGCTTCCAGCTATGGAGCAATCTATCTGTCCCGTGTATCTAATATCCTTAAGTGTCAGCCTCATGTTATGTACACAAATGAGTGCAGTCCTTCTATGTCTGTCCCTCTCTTTCTGACTCATTTCACTTAGCATGGTACGCTCCTTGTCTATCCATTTTTTTCAGGTTTTTTTTTATTAGTGAAACACCATGAGGTACAGTTGTACATTTACAATTTTTTGTGCTTGGGTTTCGATTATACAATGATCAAATACCCATCCCTCCACCAGTGCCCATTTTCCACCACCATGGATAATATCCCTCCAACCCCCATTCCCCCATCCCACCCTGCCTCTGTGGCAGGGCAGTCCCTTGTGTTCTCTCTCTCCTTTTGGGTGTTGTGGTCTGCAAAAGAGGCATTGAGTGGCAAACATGTTCAGTCCATAGTCTACTTTCGACATGCATCTCCCCTCCTGGGAGGATCCTCCAAACACCCTTTATTTAAACCAAAGCATCTCTTAAGCTTTGGTCTCCAATCCTACATGTCCCTGATTTTCCCCGTAACCTCCATCAGGCTAAAATCAACAACTGGCATCTTCATACAGGTAACTACTTCATATGTTACCTGGATGTCTATACAGAAAATACAATACAATAAATCATATATATCAAGTATTATGTAATGCAATATTTTATGAGCAGTCCTATATATGTATTAAATATATATATATTAAAGGCTCATGGGAAGTTAATATTAACTTGTGAGTTCAAAATATGAGTGTGCGACGCATGCGTTCGTTGGCCAAGAGTCACCTCCACACCCGGCCAGCCAACAGCAATGTGCACATGAAAGAGAGTCTTTGTGTACATGACCAGCCTTCAGGTTGGGTGGCCATCGTTTATTCCAGTCTCAGCACACGCCCCATATTCCAGTCTCCTTGCACGCAGTCCCACAGCCTTAGTTATAGAGCAAATCCTCAGGAGTTAGGAGTAGCATTTGCACACAGGTATGGTGGCACAATGAAGAGATGTAAAGCCCTTTCTTCAGGGGAGCTCTTCTAGGATAGAATCTCATCCTGATAGGTAGATCCACCCAAGGGCAAAATTCTGTCTAAGGGTGTAAACTTAAACTAAGGTATAAACTTTTCCTTAATTTATAGCCATTTAAAATTTAAAAGCAAATCTTAAATTTATTTCTTAATAATATTTCTAGTCATTTTGTATGGATGCAGTAAGAGATATATTAAGCTTAAAAGGTGCCTCTTCCTGTGGACATCTCACTATATTATCTGGAAATATTATTCCAAATAATATTCTTTCCTAACCCCAGCAGGGTCCTTATCCAGTTACTTATTTTCGGGTCATTGAAGAGTTTGTCCCTAACTTATTATGTGGTTTATGGCACTGGTCTGTCCCTTTCGATGCCAGGGTAGCCTATAGTTTGTCTCTTTTTGATGCCTTGGGTAGCTTATGGTTTGCCCTGAGTCTATGCAAGTCCCTCATTGGGACCCTCCTTTTGGGGTGTTGGGAATTAACAGCAACTGAGGGTTAGGTTGAGTAAATATGACAGATGCCGAGGAGTAAATTTGATTCGGAGTCAATTAACTCCCAAGTTACAAAAGCATAGCATTAACTCTCTTCCTGTCTCGATCCAAAAAGGACATTGCTCTAAAGTAAATTATGCAGAAGACATAAAGGAAAGAGAAAAGCAATATTTCACTTGCATATGCAAAATCTAGAATCCTCAGAAGAATCTGTCTTTACAAGTTACAGGGTCTGATTTGGGAATATAAATGATTAACAGATAGGGGAAGCAGAGCACAAAGGAGAGATTAAAGATAAACACAGGAATGGGAGTGCTTCAGGAGCATTGTGATGGGTGTAACCCAATAAACCTACTTGCATCAGAGGAGAAAGGACAAATCAGTGTTATCCAACGTTAACTCAATTAAATACAAATATGTGTGAAACTCCATGATTCACCAGCCACAGTTAGGAAAACAAGCCACATTAAAAATGATCAAAAATAAAGAAATATTTCCAAACAATAGGACAGAAGCAGACTCCTATAGAAATGCCAATAAACTGCAGTGAATTGTAATCTATTCTTCTCTT